CTGCTCCCTCTCCTTACACTGAGCAGACAGGCAGTCCTGCTGTGCGTCGTGAGCCTGCGTCGCGTCCTGTCTCTCCTGTTCGTTCTGGTCGTACCGTTCGTCGTGTCGCTCGTGCGCGTCAGCCGGCTGTCCCCAGCGCACACCTTGTTGTCCGTCGTCCTTCCTCTGCTCCGCAGCCTGTTCCTCTGCCGTCTCCCCCTGCGTCCTCTCTGCCTGCCGTTCCGGACCCTGCGTCTGACCGGTTTCGTGCTGAGCACCCTACTGTCACACGTCTCCTAGCCACTGTTGTCACTGACCCGTCGTTTGAGTCTACTGCTGCGTCTGCCTTGGTCGCTGAGCTTGTTGACTTTGCTGCTGCCTGTCGTCTAGACTATGCCGCTAGTCTTGTTGCTAAGTCTGAGTCTGTCTGTCCTCCGTCCGTCGGGGGTGAGTGTGCTCTTAGCACGGACGTCCTTGAGGACAGGCAGGAGGAGTTCCAGTGTCTTGCTGCTGCTTTACCTCATCTTGTGTCCTCGCTACTTGCCCCTGAGGGAGACCCGGATGCACCAGACATCCCGACTCCGCGCTCTTACGCAGAGGCGATAGAGGGTCCCTACTCCTCTCAGTGGCAGGCAGCCATGGACGCAGAGATGGCTTCCTGGAAGTCCACAGGCACCTACGTTGACGAGGTTCCCCCACCTGGGGCGAACATCGTCAGTGGCATGTGGATTTTCAGGGTGAAGCGGCCGCCGGGTTCTCCGCCTGTCTTCAAGGCGCGTTACGTGGCTCGAGGCTTCAGTCAGCGAGAGGGAGTTGACTTCTTCCAGACCTTCTCCCCCACCCCGAAGATGACCACTCTTCGGGTGCTGCTGCATGTTGCTGCTCACCGTGACTACGAGCTTCACTCTCTTGACTTCAGCACAGCTTTCTTGCAGGGCAGCCTGCACGAGGAGATCTGGCTGCGCCGCCCCCCGGGCTTCACTGGGTCGTTCCCTCCTGGAACCCAGTGGAGCCTCCGGCGGCCGGTCTACGGTCTCCGCCAGGCGCCACGTGAGTGGCACGACACACTGAGGACTACGCTTGCGGCTCTTGGGTTTGCTCCTTCTACTGCCGACCCGTCGCTGTTTCTGCGCACCGACACCTCTTTGCCGCCGTTCTACATCCTCGTGTACGTCGACGACTTGGTCTTCGCTACAGCTGACACTGCCGGACTTGCCCACGTGAAGTCCGAGCTGCAGAAGCGACACACGTGCACAGACCTGGGTGAACTGCGCAGCTACCTCGGCTTGCAGATCACCCGGGACAGAGCACGGCGCACCATTACACTGTCTCAGTCACACATGGTGCAGCAGGTCCTTCAGCGCTTCGACTTCACGTACTCCTCGCCTCAGGCCACTCCTCTGTCTACTCGCCACTCGCTCTCAGCTCTGCCTTCGGATGAGTCCGTAGAGCCGAGTGGCCCGTACCCAGAGCTTGTTGGCTGCCTCATGTACCTGATGACCTGCACGCGACCTGACCTTGCATACCCTCTTAGCATCTTGGCACGCTATGTTGCTCCTGGGAGACACAGACCAGAGCACATGGCTGCAGCGAAGAGGGTGTTGCGCTACTTGTGCAGTACGTCGGGCATGGGGCTCGTGCTTGGAGGGCGGAGTCGAGTGGTTCTTACGGGTCACGCAGACGCGTCTTGGGTCGACGACCTGGCTACACAGCGGTCGTCACAGGGTTACACCTTCAGCCTTGGTTTCGGCTCTGTTTCGTGGCGGTCTACTCGCTCGTCTTCTGTTCTCAGCTCCAGCTGTGAGGCTGAGATCTACGCAGGAGCCATGTCTGCACCAGGAGCTTCGCTGGCTCACCTACCTGCTGACTGACCTTGGAGAGCCGCCTCGTTCTCCTCCAGTTCTGTACGTAGACAACAAGGCCATGCTGGCCTTGTGTCGGGAGCACAGACTGGAGCACAGAACGAAGCACATTGCTCTTCGGTACTTCCTTGCTCGTGAGCTGCAGCAGCGTGGTCAGCTGCGCCTTGCTTACGTGGCCTCTCAGGCCAACACTGCTGATATCTTTACCAAGGCACTTCAGCCTTGTGATCATCAGCGCTTTTGTACTATGCTAGGTCTTGTGCCTACTTGGCCTCACTTGCTCACTTCTTGACCTTGCTTGTACTGTGATCTATATGTACCTCAGCTTGTGAACTGGCCTTGTGGCCTTGTGCTTGTGCTCAGAATGCGTGGTGACGTTGTGATCCACCCTGAGCTTGTTTTGCTTTGTTTCCTCTCTTGACTGGTCTTGTGACCGTTTGTTTTGTTGGCTATCCCCCACTTTGCCTATGGGGGTGTGTCAAATTATATGTTTAATATTATGTAGGCTGTAGTGGGTTTAGCCTTAGGGGGTACAGAAACTTGCTCGACACTTGTTTGTACCACCCTCCAAACCCTAATCCATCATACCTTCACACTATTCTGAGAGGTGAGTGCGTCAACGATGTTCGACGATCCTTTTTTTTATGTGATGGTGTAGTGGAGGTTGGACTCCAGGTAGTCCAACCAACAATTCTGTCGTGAATTGAGGTTCGGTTGGGCGAGAAGGTGCTGTAGTGATCGGTGATCTGTCTATACGGTCATGACGAATCCGGTGAGGTAGCAGCGAACGCGTGCACGATCGTCAGCATCTCGCGGTCGTGTATCGAATAGTTGCATTCGGGAGGGTGAAGTTTGCGGGACTCATACGCGATTGGCTGGAGGCCGTTCCCAAGATCCTGAAATAATACTGCTCCCACGGCGATGTCGCTTACGTCGGTGAACAGTTCGAACGGGCGGTGTGGGTCGGCAATGTGCAGTATGGGCGTCGAGCACTTTTTTTTTTCCTTGCGCAGGTGTGACTGTTTATACTAACAACGTGGAACATACCCGTTGTGCGCATCTTTCTCCCCCCATGTGTACTCAACCCCCTTCCTCAGCAGGTCCGTCAGCGGGGCAGTCAGCTTCGCCATGTTGGGAACGAACTGGCGCACATTGTTGACAAACCCCAAACTACTCCGCAGCTCAGTCAAGTTTGTCGGCGCATGCCATGCTAGAATTGTCGCGATCTTCGTCGGGTCTATTTCCACTTTGTCGGCTAAAATATAGTGCCCTAATAACTCTAGTATGTCCTTTAGGAACTCACACTTAGAGGCTTTGGCTAGTAGGCAGTCCTTACTCAGTATCTTGAAAACTGCTTCGACGCCACGTATATGCTGTTCTCTGTCCGGGCTGTAAATCAGGATGTTGTAAAAGTAAACGATGACGCACTTATCTAAAAGCGGGCGAAAGGCCTCGTTCATGGTCGTCTGAAAAGTGGCAGGGGCGTTGGTTAGCCCGAATGGCATGACGGTGTATTCGAAGGATCTGTAGTGGTTTCGGAAAGCGATTTTCGGGCAGACGGGCGGATTAACTCGGATCTGGTGCCAGCCTCCTTGAAGGTCAACTTTTGAGAAAACACGGGCTGCGAAGTAGGTCGATCAGTTCATCGGCTCGCGGGATGGGGTAACGGGACTTGATGGTAACTCGGTTCGGTGTGCGGTAATCTATGTACATGCGAAAACCTCCGTCTTTCTTCGATGTAAATAGTATCGCTGCAGCGAAGGGCGGCGACCTCGAGAAAATGAATTGTTTCTCGAGCAGGTAATCTAATTGTTTCTGTAACTCGTCCATCGGATTGGGTCAGTCAAAATTGTCGCTGTATAGTGGGCTATGCCCCCGGTCCCAGTTTTATCATGTGGTAGTGCGGTCGTTGAGGTGGCAGTCCTGTTGGCAAGTTGTCCCGGAAAATCCCACTGTATTGCTTCAGTATTGCTGCCTGGTCGCCCGGAACGTCGGCGAGCAGTTTCTTTAAATCACTTCCCTCATCTGCTGCATCGGCTTTCCGGATGTTAACCGCATATACGTCAGCTCCTACCGCTACGGTGCTGTCATCGTGATGGCGTTGATACGCACCGACGAAGAATCAGGCGAGCTCCAGCGAGGTAGAGCAATGTTGTTACCGTTCACTCGCATGGTGCAATCACCTACCGTCCAGTCGATTCGCGGATTCTGTCGTCGCAGCCAATCACGACCGAGTAAAATGTCGGTCCGGTCGAGGGTCGTTGCGAGCATTTTCTGGGTAAACGTCAAGCTCACCCCGCATCAGATCGGAACTCGGTCCACGCGTTCCCGTATCGCCAGTAACGTGCCGTCGACCAGTCTTGCATCAATCTCAGGCAAGCACTTCTTCCGTGGTAGTTTCCGTTTCCGTGCTGTGGCTGTGTTGATTAGGGTGTGGCTGTCTTGTCTCCTATGTTCACGAAGATTTTAACTAAATTTGTCTATATCTTCTCGCTAAGCAGTATGAGGCTGCCTACCATTGTACCCTCCTTATTCGGCCGGGTGTGGTCGATTGCGTGAACCGGCACAATCACTCGGTGAGCATCGGTTGGGTCGGGCGAGTAGCGCGAAATGTTAGTAGAGGGCCCGGCCCTCACGTTCGGCTTCGCTCTAAACGCAACATCACCGAGCTATTTTCGCCCAACCTCCCCGCCTAGCTAGCTTTTCCCATATTTAGGTCTCGTCACCTCCATTGAATCGTCATTCAATGGTTTAGTATTCTCATTATTTGCTGACTCTGCAAGTTAAAGCCGGCGCCTAGAATGGCAAGGGTTCAAAATTACTGACCTTGAAAAGTATTGTACGAAGGTTGACGAGAGGAAAATTCGCGAGAGGCTGGTGGCGAAAGCGGAATGCCCCAGCTTCATTCGCAACATTCAAAATTCAACTTCAGGAAACTTGAACAAGCAGCAACGACAAAACAAAACCCAACCACTCTCACGCAGCTCACAACTCAGATTTTCGCCCAAAGTCCAGAAGCGCACTCTAAAAGCGTGCGTGTAGATAGAAAGAACAGCAGTTTAGGAAACTAAGTGTCCAGAAAAAAATAGCTGGGTATAACATGAGAGAAAATTTACGCTGCGGCCGGAATCGAGAGGAATCAAAGGCCCGAGGGAGGGAATGTGGCGCGTATGCGAGTGTGAAGCACCGTGCTTCAATCTATCCCCGCCCGTCGCTCTAGCTTCCCCCACCCGTCGCCCTCGCTTCCCCCGTCCATCGCCCTCGCTTCCCCCTCCCGTCGCCCTCGCCTTCCCCCTCCCGTCGCCCCCCCTTCCCCCTCCCGTCGCCCTCGCTTCCCCCGCCCCCCTCCCGTCGCCCTCGCTTCCCCCTCCCGTCGCCCTCGCTTCCCCCTCCCGTCGCCCTCGCTTTCCCCTCCCGTCGCCCTCGCTTTCCCCCTCCCGTCGCCCCCGCTTTCCCCCTCTCATCCCCCTCCCATCCCGCTCCCATCCCCCTCCCATCCCCCTCCCATCCCGCTCCCATCCCCCTCTCATCCCCCTCCCATCCCCCTCCTATCCCGCTCCCATCCCCCTCCCAACCCCCTCCCATCCCCCTCCCATCCCGCTCCCATCCCCCTCCCATCCCCCTCCCATCCCCCTCCCATCCCTCTCCCATCCCCCTCCCATCCCCCTCCCATCCCCCTCCCATCGCCCTCGGGGGCTGTCGTTTCCCGCCCCACCACCTTCTCTAACACTCCTGTTGCCCGTCTTTACCGTCTCCTCCGACTCTCCCACCGTACGCTTCACCCATACCTACATCCTTCCATGGAATAAGTTAACTCTTCCTCCCTCCCTTCCTTCCTCCATACTAGCCTCCCAGCCTAACTAACTCCCTTTCACCTCCCCTCCCCCATTCATTCATTTCACCTTTCCATTCTTATGTCCAGGGTTCACTCTGTTTCCCCTGCTCATTCTCTTCCCCCTAATCACTCTGTTCTCCTGCCCATTCTCTCCCCCCCTACTCGCTCTGTTCCCCCTTGCTCACTCTCATCCTCCCTGCTCACTCTAATTCTTACTGTGCACTCTCTTTTTGCGCTGCTCAATCTGTTACCCCTTTCACTCGCCCCCCAGTTCCAGCCATGCAGTGTACAGGTCCCGGGCTTCCAGCTGCATGCAGTGTAGTAGACAAGAATGGGGAAAGAACATTACAATTCCTTGCAGTCTTCTTCGTGTCAATAATCGACTGTGAACTTTGTTGCACTTTTTTGTAGTGGTCATGTGCATGCCCGCTCCTCAGCTCCGAGTTTGTATTTATAACAAAGCACCCAACATCCAAACATGGCATGGCTAGTCATTATAGTACTATCAAACTGCTAGCCAACACATCGCCACACCACGAACAGATGCATAGCGGACCTGTACAAACACAACAAGAAATAAGATGTGAGATGGCTGAGCAGCAGGGAACAGTCTTCTGGACAGTGTGTAGGGAGGGGGGAGCAGTGTCAAGTCCATTATCCCTAAACGAGCTCGCCTAATCCATGTTATGCCCGTTATCATTCCGCAGGATCACACTCGCGAACAGTGAGTGTTGGTGCTGCACATGCATTCTGTGAGTCGCGAGTTGGGGGCAATGAATGAAAATCCCTGGAATGCGAAACGGGGGAGCGGACAGGGGCATAGAGGGAAGAGATGAGATGAGTTGGGCGGGAAGGTAGTAGAGGATTAGGGGAGTAAGGGACGAGAAGAGAGGGAGGGAAGGGCGCGAAGGAGCCGGGGTTTATCAAGAAATAACATGGGGCGCGTGAGGGGGGAAGTGACAAACACGAGGTGCGGAGGTGGGAGGGAGCAGCACAGGGGGAGTGGGGTAGTTGTGTGTACGGAAGTGGGAGCAGCACGGGTGAGAGTCGGAAGAAACAGCGCAGGCCGAAGGGAGATGGAAGGGAGGGCGGCAAGTAGGAAAAGATGGCAGAGGCGGAGAGGAGATCAGGGGGGGGAAAGGACGGGGAGAGATGGGCTGAGGGTGAAGACAGTAGACAGGCTGCACTGTGAGGGACGGAGGGGAAAACCCTATCAGGGCAAAGTGAGATGGAGGGAAGAGAGGCACAGCTGGGGAGAAGAAGGGCAGGTTAGGAAGGAGGAAGTGTGGCTAGAAGGGTGTGGAGTGGAAGAGCGGGAAGCATGAGTACGTGATGAGAGGAGAGAGGGACGGGTGTGAGTGAGCGAAGCGTGTGAGAGGGTGTGAGAGCTAAAGGCCTTGTGTTTGAGAAGGAGTGTGTATGAGGGGTGTCGGAGAGACGTTGGAAGTCTTCTCACACCTGCAGCAGGGGAGGAGATGAGTGCGGGGAAGTGGAGAGGGGCTGTTTTGGAAGTAGCCAGCGGTATACATGCACACTTACTTGCGCACCTGCAGGCTGTAGGGGGAAGAAGGGGATGGGGGGAGGGGAGAAAGGAGAGGGAGGGAAAGAGCGGGGATGGCGCAGAGGGGAACCGGCGGGAAGGCCAAGGTGGGAAGATCTCGCACAACGTGTGCACACCTGAGCAATCTATGTCGCATGGGTGGCACGGGAATACCCTAAGTGAGAGGGGTCGAAACTTTTGTATTGTACAACTGTGCGCAATCACCGTCGCCACACATTTCTTCACGCTGCGCAACCCTCACACTTTCATCACCAACCAAGCTCCCCTTTCCCTCCCCCCCCCTTCTCTCTATCCACATTCCTACTCCCCCTCCCCCCCCCTCTTCCCCCCCCCCCCCGCCCTTTTTCCCCCCTCCCCTCTCCCAGCCTTCTCCCAGCCCCCTGTCAGCCATCCCCCAGCCCTCTCTTTCCCCTCCCCCACATCTCCCTCCCCCCCGCCCATCGCCCGCACCTCTAGGAAGGCGTAGGATGTCTAGTAGTGGGGCACAAGCCAGCCGGATCTGCACGCACCGTTACGCGCGGCAGGCACGCGGAGGTTGGTGCTTCCTAGGTTGGCGCATGGCGGGATATGGAGGGGAAGGAGGGAGGAAGCAGGGAGGGGGGTGAGCGAAGCCCGCGAGTGACGAAGAAAGGCAATGGACGACCAAAGGGGGACAGCAGGAACGAGAGCGACAGCAGCAATTGCGGGACGGGAGTTCTTGAGCGACGATAGGGGATAGGGAGTGTGCGACTGGGGAGTGTTCGGAGCGGGCGTGTCAAACGTGAGTGTGTGAGCGACGATGCGGCGATAGCACCGTGTGAGCGGAGGGTTTGAGCGAGCGACGGGAGGGAGAGCGCGACGGGATCGAGTGAGCGATGCGAATGTGGGGCGGAAGGCGAGCGGCGGAGAGGGTCGAATGGAGGGAGGGAAGGGAGGTTACGAGGGAGTCTGAGCCGAGGGTTGTACTGGTCGAGCACGACCTACGATAGCGAAGGGAAGGAATTGCGAGGGCGACGGGAAGGCAAGGCGAGGGTGACGGGAAGGAATCGCGTGGGCGAACGGTAGGAAAAGCGAGGGCGACGTGAAGGGAATGGCGGCGAGCGACGGGTTGGGAGAACGTGGGCGACACTCAGAGCAAGCGTGGGCGACGGGCGCGGGAAGGGAGCGTAACCTAAAAGGCGACGGGAGGGGAGGCGACGGGAGGGGAGGCGAGCGCAAATCGCGGGGAGAGTTTTGGGCAAGAACTGGGAGGGCGTGGAGCCTAGAGAGCCACGTATACGGATGCAATTACATGTATTGCGAGTGACGGGGAGCGTGTGTGTGGAAGGTGTTCGCGTGGAGTCTGCTCGAATCCTAAACGCGTGCGAGCGAGCGATGTCTTTGGAACGCGGAGAATTAGCTGTCTTGTGGACGTTTGCGATAACATGTGCGAATAGGAGGTGCACGTCAGGATTACGAGTGACAGGAGTGAGGGGCGTGAGTAATGCTTCCATTGACCCTATACTAAGTAGAGTGACTGGTGAAAGCCACACATCATTCACGGGATAAAACTGATTCTGAGGGCTATGGAGCCCACTACCATCGAGTCTAGAAAGATATTCTCTTGCTTCAAGTTCCGGAAAGGGTGAACAGTAGTTCCAGTTTTGTGTTTTTCTGGCGATGGCTGTGACTGTTGTGGCTGTTGTAGTTTCATCCAATCAAATTCATGCGCTTCTAACACTCCTTTGGGGGCTGCGAGGGGACGGTGTTCCAAACCAGGTTACCTGGTTCATTGGCGATTTCTAGTTCAAGAATCTTGAACTTGAAGAGTATCCATTCTAGACTCGGGCTTTAAAACATAATATTTGTCAGCTTTTGTTCAGATAGAGAGCCGTGTAGAAGAGTTTCTCTTATCCTGTCGAAGCGCAAGCTTGCGTCAGTCAGTTCCCGATGTCAGCAGCGGTGGTCCGTTTCTTCCCTCCGTTTCCTCCCGTTCCCGCGTCGGGTTCCGTTTGTCAGCTCCCGCTGCTCCCTGAAAACTGGTCGCCCCCGAGAGTCATGTCAATCGGCGTTTCATGCTTATTCGTGTCCGTGCGATGGGCTAGCGATAGGCTAACCTACGGTTACGATCGCTTTCCTGATTTCGAGGCTTTCCTCCATCTCGGGAATGTTTCAGCTGGATTGCTGATGCATAGGCTTTGACGAGCAAGCTTGCTACGCTCACAACGCGGAAATTTAGACTCCCATCAGATTTGCTGTAAGTCAGTTTCCTAGCTACGGAACGCAAGCACTTGAATCGCTGCCTTATATGCAGGCTTACTATTCGCAAGTGTTGAGCTCTGTGGCTGTATCGCATGAGAGCATTTGCGACGGCAGTTATCACGTTTAGCAAAGTATTCCGTTGACGGCTTGAACGATTTAGGGTGATAGCATCTCACTTCGTTGAACTAGTGCATCTAATTACAAACAGTATTTCTTTCCTATACTGCAAATCTTAGATCGCAACGGCATGCTCGATTGCGACCTATGTCACACCCTCCAAGCTCGCGCGAGCAGAAAGAAAACCAGCGGAATTTAACGTCTCCGCGTGCCTTCCGTCGTTCGCTTTCCACAAATTTCGCCAACGATCATTCTTCGGACATTCTGAGGAGCAGCAGCAGCTTCAACAGTAGTTGCAGCTTGAGCAGCAGCAGCAGCAGCAGCAGCAGCGTAAACAGCTCCGCCGCTTCAAGCATGGACGCGGAGAAACTCATTCCCACGTCGCGCGTGCCTGACGACCGGCAAAAGCTGCTGGCCGGCTCAAGTTCTCTCGCGTCGCACGCATCGCACGCGATGGACGTGGACGACAGCGTGCGACTGCCGGAACCCGCGAGGCGAACGCCGTCGTCGGCCTACAAGAGCGGAAAGGAGGTACGTGGATGGTCAAGATCGAACGGCGGGAGTGAATGGAGGTACTACGTGCTGGATGATCACGATGGAATGGCGGGAATGAATGCGACGACTAGCAGAGTCAGACGGTTACGATGATGCACCAAATGTCCATGCATTTATCACCGATGGATGTCAAAGCACTGCTTTGACAATCGTTAGCACCGAAGTGCACTCGCGGGCTCCTCCTGCGCGCATCTCGCTCCGTCGCTTGTCCTGAGAGCGCAATCACATTGCGACGCGTGTACTTCTCTCCCCTCTCTCGCTGTAACCCTCCTCTCTCGCTGTAACCCTCCTCGCTCGCTGTAACCCTCCTCGCTCGCTGTAACCCTCCTCGCTCGCTGTAACCCTCCTCGCCCGCTGTAACCCTCCTCGCTCGCTGTAACCCTCCTCGCTCGCTGTAACCCTCCTCGCTCGCTGTAACCCTCCTCTCTCGCTGTAACCCTCCTCTCTCGCTGTAACCCTCCTCTCTCGCTGTAACCCTCCTCTCTCGCTGTCTCCCCTCTCTCTCGCTGTCTCGCAGGCATTCCTCGCGGTCCTACACAGTTGGGCAACCAAACGGTTCATGAGTGGATGGTAAGCTGCTCTCTTTGCTTCCTCTGTCAAGCGTGTTCTTTTCACTCCTCTTTCCGTCCAGCTCCATTCTGTTCCGCATGCCCTTTGCCCTCCAAGCACTGTGTTATTCGGTTCTGTACCACGTGCTTTCACGAACCCTCTCTCCACCCAGCACCGACCTAATCCATATCGTCATGACCTTCCACATGGACTGTTGACTATTACTGCTCTTTTCGTCCCACTCACCGCCATTCTGTAACCTATCGCCATCCCCATCACCCTTAACTTGACGTGTTGTCTTGTATTCCTTTCTCCACTCG